TAATTTCAAATGAATATGTAATCCCTTGTGATTGAAATGAATATGTACTCTCATCGGCTATATCGATAGCAAGCAATTAAAATAAAATTCACGATACTTACATCTGAGCGTTGAGCTCAAGTTGAAGTGAGAGTGGCTCAAATAGAAGATTGCATGGCGTTTTAATGTTTCTTTTTTGAGTGATTTATATATGTAGTATTAAAAGTAGTTGACCAATATTAGTTTTATCACATAAATAATTGCGAATAACTAATAACTGTCGGTAACATTGATATTGAGGCAGATCGATATATATTGGTCTTTAGCAATTGTTGATAAAACTACCGAAACCAGTAGAAGAGAGAAAAATGCGCATGTGGCTAGATAAGGCGAGATGGAATGATCACAGCCATGCATAAGTTAAATGAATAGCTTTGCTTCAGTACTGCAGCAAAGAAATATTCTTATCGATACTACAATACATTAATCGATAGTATTGCAGCCAACGGAACAACTAAATTGCACACCTATCGAAAGCGTTTGAATACTGGAGCCAAATTGAACCAGAATGTTATCAGTGTTCGATAACACAAAAGCTGTCGATTTCAGCAATGCGAAAATAAGTGCACCTGCAACTGAAATTAAGCAACGCAAGCAAAGGGAGACGTTTACGTAAGGAAAGCAAATTCCTTAATAAAATTTATCGTGGCATGAAAAGTTTCGGCTGAGTACATCAGCAATGCGAATCACTGCATATTAATGGGTGTCGAACGGGTCAACACGCAACACCACACACACACACACACACACGCACTTACATATACATATGACAGGAGGCTGCCATGCGTGGAGGCGACTGTTTTCTCAGCGTGAACGTGCCAAAGAAAATAGCCTCAACAGCAGCAAAAGCAGGCGCACAGGCATAATAAATCACAGTGAGGAGTGAGAGAGGAGGAGGGGCGGCCAGCAGGGATGTCGGCAGAAAGTTGACCCAGTAAGTGAACCCGATAAGATGATGGGACGCAGCACGGTCAAATGTTCGCCTCAAGTCAAGCCGAATTGTTCACTGCGTAGTTTTCCACAGACAGAGAGAGAGAGTGAGTGAGAGAGAGAGAGGGAGAGAGAGGGAAATAGGGCAGTGAGTGTGGGCAAGTGCACCTTGAGCACGGTAATTGCTTTGGACGGCCGCTGAAAGCCCAAACAAATTATAAACGACGACAGGGCGACAGAGCAGCCAGGCAAAGGCCCAGCTCAAAGGCTTACAAAAAAAGAAAGACGATGAAGCAGAAGAAGGAGTACAAGAATAACTGTGTGTGTGTGTGTGTGTGTATGAAAGAGGTGAAAAGTTGTTGGGCCGTGCTTTGGCCCACTTCAACTGGCTCATTACCCCAACCAAAGGCTGTCTTATCTGTTCGGTGTTGATCCATCAACGGGATTGCTGCTGCTGCTGCTGCTGCTGTTGCTGCCACCTCTAACTGGCAACTGGCAACTGGCAACTGGCGTCTGGGGCAGGGAAACATTTTCTGATTGCGTGTGCATTTTTAATGTCGCCTGGCCTTTTGGCCTTTTCAGAGGCAATGTGTACGCACTTCATTCATCAATGCGACTGCCGCGACTCCCAAAACGCCAAGACAAATGATGATGCCTGCCAAAGCAGCAGCCAGGTAGACTACACCCACGCGTTCTCTCTCTCTCTATCTCTCTCGCGCATTCTCTCTCTCTCTGTCTCTTGCAAAAGTCCTGCTCGCTGGCAAGCGCTACATTACTTTGATTTTTATAAATTTTATATGGCACACGCCTTTCCTTGACTCCGCCCGGCAAACCCTTGACGGGAGCTACAGTCGCTCCATCCGCTCCACTCGGGGGCGTCGGCGTTCACTAATGAAATATGAATAATTAATATTGTGTGCTTCTTTTTGTTTCACTTCATTTGGGAGTTCATTATTTTCGGTGCTGCTGCCCAGCTGGAATTTCATCTTCTAACTCGATTGTTGTCTGCCAGAGGGGGCGACAGAGCGAGAGGGCGTGCGAGAGACGCACCTAAAGTGGCATATTAATAAGTTAGCAAGCTCACTTAACTGCTATATTTACATTTCAAAATATGTATATTGCCCGCCCCGGGGCGGCTATCGATAACTGCGCAGCAATCGCAGTGAATGACAATCGAATTGGCTTTTAATATTCCAATGTTGCTTTGAGCACATTCACAAATTAGCATAGCAATCGCTATGACAGCTAGCAGGAGTTGTTTACCTATAAAGGTGATTTCTTCGCTGACTATCAGATTCATCGATATCAGGCAGAAATGTGTCCCTATAAATATACGAGTTTTGGGGTTTAATTAGTAAGTCCTTTTAATATTGACTTTCATATATTTAAAATGATATATACAGTTGAATTTTTACAGCTTGAGCGTGGTTCTAACCGGATTCTACTGAGCTTACGCTCCCTACTGAATAAAGACAGCTGAAAAGTGAAACTGAATACATGCAGGAAATGGCGGACAGACGTTATTATAACTCTATTGTATCCCCATACCTGGGAGAGAACTTTGTAAATTGCTTTTGCATTCCAGCAAAGTTTCACATATATAAATTCAAGTTAAGATAAGAGGCAACCCTTTGACTCGGAGTGTTTAGTTCAAGTGAGACGCCAGAAGAATGCAGCACTGAGACAGCCAAGAGTCAAAGTCAGCAGCGGAATTCCGTATCGCTGTTATCCCTCACGCCTCCGACTAAGCTTCCATGGCTTTACTTACTGTAGCTCTACTCTAAATATTTCATTTGATAGATTTGATTTACATAGAGAACTAGAATTACTGTTTAATGACAAGTTCTGCCAAGCCATAAGCTCATGATTCCAATAATTATGAAGCCATCATAATACACACCGAAGACCCCTCAGCAGCTGGAGGAATTCACCTGAACGTTAACAACTAAGTCGTACATAGATACATATATAGATACAGTTACTGTGCAAAAATGTTGGCTTTAAATTGCTTTGAAAATAATTGATGGGGAATGTGTTTGATATTGCTGCAGCAGCAATTAAGGCTGCATATCTGAAGCTAAAGCCAAGGGATAAAAACAATGGGCAAATCAAAGCAGAAGCTGCCTCTGCTGCAAGCTCACATGTGCCGAATGCAAATTCCAAAGAGATGGAGAAAGAGAGAGAGAGAGAGAGAGAGCGAGAGAGAGAGAGAGTGAGAGGGGGCGTGTGTTTAGGGCGTTAATTTGCTAGCCGATAAGATGCAGTGCAGCAGCAAATGAGCAATAAGAAATGTGAAACGAAAGCCACAAGAAATGCATGTGTGTGTATGTGTGTGTATGTCTCTGTGTGTGTGTGTGTGTGTTT